AAATCTTTATTTTCTCTTGATTTTTTATACTCTTAAGGTTTTGTCTTCATCTATGCCTCTTTATGTAATGTATAGCAAACACCTCTTCTCTTAATTTTGTAATTATCAAAATATATGTTCCAACGTGTTAGGCCTTAAGTGTGATTCTTCCTTAAAAGAACAAAACTAGTAATGATATTATGTGATAGCAAGGTTAGAATCCTCAGTAAGAGGTTTATAATCTAGCTCATCTAGATATCAATACTAATGAAATAACTTTTTAAGTTATCAATGTTACTAGAAGCCTCTTGATTCATATTTTCCTAAAATAAAAAATAAAAAAACTTTTATGAATTTTTTTAAGTGATTAAACTTATAAAATGCACTAAATAGCTCAACAATAAATTCCACATTTGCTTTAAATATTGAAAAATAACATCAAAATGAAGATCTTGAATTTACAAATTTTTTTAAGATAAATTGCGACTCAACCAGAGGTCTCACATGCTCTCACACGCCTTAAGAAGCTCACTAGACAAAAAATTCTGAAAAAAAATCTAGCCAACCCTTACTCTCAGAGGTGTCGCATGCACGTCATGTGCTATCTTCACATTCTCCAATGGCAACACACGCCAATCTCTTGTGCTCCGCGCGCTATTCTACTTTAGGTGGGGTCCTCCACATGCCTTTAGGGCCTTCTAATGGGCCCCATGAACCATGTGTTGTTTTCATCAATAAAAAATATTTTTTATTGATTTGAATTTTTTTATGTAAATTAATTTTGAACTAGTTCAGGTTGCCTATACCCAAACCGAAACCCATACCGTAGAATTTTCCTTTTTTGAATAATACTTTTTTTATAATGGGTTTGGGCTTGTCAACCCATTACCAAAAAATGTTCTTTTCATGGATTTGAGCTCACCAACCTAGAACCATAATTTTTTTTATAAATGTGCTTGAGTTCACAACCTATAACCAATTAAATATCTTTTTTTTATAAATGGATGATTGAAATGCACCATTTTAGTCGTCTCTAACCTCCAACCAGGTCTCATAGACCCAACTGGATCAACGGAGCCAACTTAAAAATTTTTGGGAGCCATTTCTCTTCGTCCGATCTCCATTTTACATGTTCTTGATATCGTTTTCTTCATTTTTTTTTTAAAGTCTACACTTTTATGTCATCCGTTTTCCCAAAAAATTCCATTTTCAAACACCCATTTTTTAGTTTGTTTATGGATGGAAGTTTTAGCATTGCGTATCACATACAGAATGCATGGGGAATGTATAAAACTCATTTATATCAACTAATAAGAATCTTAACGTGTTCACTTGACTTGAACAACGATGAAGAATAGACAAAGACGAGAAACAAACTTTTATCAAAATATAGTACACAGATTTGTATTCATATATAAAGTAAGCAAATCATAGTCTTATCAATATATACTGAAAATGAAGCCCAAGAACTAGCAACGCTTTGATATCAATAATAGATTCTGGAGGAGGAATCTTACCTGAAAGGATGTACTGAATGAAATGTCATACACGTGAACAAATTTACACAGTCAAACTCGGTTTAGGTTCTCACAAACAAATGCACACACTCAAAGAGAATGAGAGTAGAGGAAGCAAGGAATCTGTTTGCAAACTCACGTTACCTCAAAAAATGAGAAGCCCTCCTTCATATAAATATTATGCACAATGCATACAGTTGGAACGTGTGGAATGCAGTTAGATAACCGTTCCCTCCCTAATTCAAAATAAAAGAGAGGAAATCATACTTGTAGACTTGAGAGAATCACACATTAAGACCCAACCTTTTTCATAATTGTCACAAAACTCCATTCTATAATTGGGCTAATATTTGGCCTTGATTCACTGGGGGTGGATATCGCAACATTAGGTGTATTAATATGTACTTTGTGTTGTGTAATCTAATTGGTATACAAGTGTAAAGTTTCTATCAATTAATAATATTTATATTTAGACTATTGTCATAGTATCAACAGTAAATTATAAGTTTATGATCTAAGTTTATAATTTGAGTTTACATTTTTATTGTTAGTTTGACAACCTTGCCAATAAAAGTAATTAAGTTGGATTATATTAAATGAACTCAATATCACACAAATAAAATTTCAAACTTAAATCTGCGTATGAACGTATGAAACAAATAATGTTATAAGAATTTCTCTCCATTCATTGTGCAACATAACTAGAATCTAGATTAATTGGTTGTATTAAATATCATATGATTGTTTTTTATAAAAAACTATCATCTTGAATAGATATAGATATCAATACATTAAATTACTAGCTTAACCAAAAATCTCAAGTTTAAACCCTAAATATGCAGTAGCGATTAAATTTTCTATGGAAAGTATGCTCTTTTAAGAGGTGCCTAGAAACTGCTAATCAGATTAATTTGGGTCTAAGACCTGCTAAGATGCTAGAGCAAAGAAAATACAGTAAAAGATTAGTTGCATAATCACTGGTAACCATATATTGTCCCTTTTAAGAATTACCTCTATTCCAAATTATAAGGTATTTTTAAAGAAGTTTTTCCATCCCAAAATATAAGACACTTTGGATAAATTAATGTTTCATTAAATGCAACAATTTTACTATTACCCTTTCTCTCTCTATAACTAATTTTTATTTTTTCTCTTTCAATATATTAAATGATAAGTATTTTTGAAAATTTATATTTTTGTTTTGAAAAGATAAAATTGTTAAGTATATTTAATGAGGTTTAATTATATGTAAAATTTTGTTTAAAAATGTCTTATAATTTAAGACGAAGGGAGTACTAATTATTAATAATCTAACTGCGCAATTATCGGCTTGTACACGACATTGATAAATGATAATAATATACATAAAACTAGTTAATTTTTCTTAATTTGAATAATAAAATATGCATGTGATTAGCCCAAGGTTCGAAATAATTGTAAGGGTCTACATAGTTTTCTGATGTAGTCCCTCGTAAGAGATGCTAAAAATGAATTGAATATTACAAAATAATTAAATTCATGTAGGGCAACCAGGATATATTCAGATTAATTGAACGTGAAAAATAATTAAATTCAAGTGGGGCAACGAGGATATATTTAGATCAAGCAAGAGTCCCATGAAAGCACATGGGAGCAATTAAGAATATGATGTTTGATTGACTGAGAAGTGAGAATGAAGCCACTGTCCATTCTTTTCTTTAGTGATCTACTACTCTTCATTTTCTAGAGGTTTTGTTCAAAATATAGAGTATTGGATAACTGTTATATACATATATATTTTAAATTACATCTATACTTTATTGAGTAATTAATGAGAATATTTTGAATAAGTTAAATATTATATTTATCACATTAAAGGGAATGATTGGAAAGATGTGAAAAATTTTAAAAAAATAAAGATTTAATCAACTTTTTTAAAAATATAAATTAATTAACAATGACTTATATTATCAAATGAAGTAAATGCAAAAAATAAAGACAGTGAGAAAAGAAAAGTAGGACATGAACTGGAAAAGTTAAAACAATAAAGAGGATGATTGAGATTTGAAATAAATCACTATAGTAGATTGGATATTTAAATTTTTAAAAAATTATAATAAAAACTTCACTTAAATTTGAATCAAATTTAAAGTCATAAATTTTTGTATATTAAAATCTAAATTTCTACTAATCGAAACATGATATTTTTAAGGAAAATATACTTGCAAGTTCTTATAATTTTACTCAATTTTGAATTACGTCCATATAATTTTTTTTTTAATCAAACCCTTATAGTTTCATCTATTATATATATCAACCCCTGAAGGTTAAAATTAGTAGTGAATTACTCTCTCTGTTAAAAAATATAAGGTATTTTTAACCAAATTTTGCCCCTCAATAAAATAGTTATTTGTCTTCAAACTGATCCTATATTTTTATATTTACCCCTATTTAACAGGATGTTTTACCATAAAATAAATATAAAGTAATTTATTTAATAAGAGCACTTTTTTTAAAAAAAGCAATGATTATGCCCTGAAAGATGCTTTATATTTACCTCTAAAAAAATGCTTTACATTTTTTAATGAATGGAGTATTAAATTTTACAAAATAAAAATATTCTTAGAATTTGGAGAAAATTTAATTTAATACATGTAGCCAAAATTGAAAAAAGAAAATTTGAGTTAATCCACTGTTTATATTTTCATTATAATTTTTTTTATGAAAATTCTACATGTATAAAAAATATTTAGAAGACAACCTAATTATATAAATTTTGAGTTATAAAAATTATGCAATTAATTGTAAAGTCATATAGCCATTTAATAAAAATATAAAATTTCTTGATTTTATTTTTTTTAAAAGTAAAAACGTAAGGATTTTAACTTTTAGGGATTACAAAATTTAATTAGTTAAACTATAAGAGCTAAATAAAAACAAAATAAAATGTAGGAATTTAATTTAAAATTAACTGTAAGGACTTGCAGACATGTTTTTCCTTTATTTTATCATCCCTTTTTAAATAAAAGATATACGGCACGTTATTATTTCTATAAATAGTAAAGAGTATAGACACATGCCTTATCTTTCCTTGCTACATTAATTGATCAATAAATTACCCGTAAGCCATAAATATATATATATATATATATTTTTTTTTTTTTAATGCAAAGATCCAAAATCAAATAAAAGTTAGCACCTTTACATATTTTATTTTTTTGAAAAATTCAGTTTATAATTTTTCGTTAATTTATTATTACTTAAACTGACATGATTATATATTCAAGCATAATTAGCTTAATTAGTTATCCAATTTAAATTTGAAATATTTTTAAAAGAAACTTGAGAAACTATGACATCATTCTACAGGTTTCATATTTTATTTTTTTTAAAAAGCTAAAAATACAGGGGCTGCACAGATCTTTCAACTAAGCATCACTCTCAATTGACATTGGCACAACATGTTCATCAAATATCTAAACATGGAATTGTGTATTGTAAATTTTTTCTTTTTAATTAATTGATCTTTTCATTAAAAAAAAGGCATGGGCCCCCAACATATTACACGGTATAATAAATTATTAAAAGAAAAAAAATAACACAAAATTCCATGCAAGTGAATAGTTAAAAAAATGCAATACTAATGATCTTTCTTGCTGGTTCCAAATTGACTGGTTTGCTACGCATTGTAATAATGGGATGTGTCTCGTTCACCATGGATTCAAATTGCCCCTTAGTCATGACTCATGAGGTAGGGATCAATGCTACATTCTTGAACCTACAAGTGGAAATAAGTTAAGTCAAATTTGATCAAATAAATATAAGCCTATATAGTACCGTAACCTAAAACCTAAGGGTTTTTTATGGCACATAACACCTAAGATTTTTAACCCAAAAACAAAAAACAGTTTACTTAAGGTCTAGCTTATTTAAATCCCTACATAGGTTTTAAATGATTCATGGAGAGACTGGACAAGTAGAAGATGCCTTGGTTTACCTAAGTAGGCCTTTTAAATAAGGCTACATAAAAGATTTTTAAGGCCTTGAATAGACTTTAAGCCTATTAAAAACTTATACGTGTGCACAACCTGAATTTTCAGATAGAGGAGTCGAGGATGATACTGGACAAGTAGAAGCTGAGATTGAAGAAAAATCTGAAGTTTAAAATGAGATGCGTAGTCGCTGGTGTTTGGAGATGAGGTTGAGGACGACTGTGGATGTGATTAGCTCTATGCCTTTTTTTTTTTTGGCTAGATTACTTTAGGATTTTTAATTTTTCCTAAAATAAATATTATATATTTTTCTATTACGTTATATATTCAATATTATGTATATTACATAATAATAATAATAATAATAATGTGTAAATAAGCTGACTTATCTAACTCATATAGGTCAGATGTAAAAATAAGTCTAGCCTATTTATTTAAATAGACTTTTATCAAAGGCCTGAATTTAGTTTGGCCCACTTAACAAAAAAACATCTGGCCACGCCTGAAATGATAGATAAACCTATTGCATTTTGTTTACTTCATATTTATATGTTCTGATTTTTGTGGGCCAAAATTGAAAAAGTCCATCAATCAATGTTGGGGCGAGGCGAAGGATTACAGTGGGTAGATTGACTAGGTTCCAGAAATATTTTCCTTCCCTTGCTTTTCTTTCCTTTCCTTGCAGAAAGCACAATCCTAACAATTGAAAAATATAATCTCTGCAAAGGGTCCTACATGATGGTTGGGCACGTTAAACCAAAATTATAATACCAACTCAAGTTGGCATGATTGGTAAGAACTTTCTACTTGGTAGAATCTACTCCTTGAACTTCCAACATTAACATCCATTTTTTTCCCCAAAAATTTTACCCCTGACCCAGTCTTTTCCTATAGATAAAAGGGAGACACACATCATGCATGCACGCAAACATGTTAATACTGGATTCAAACCCAAGACCTCTTTTAAGTGAGAGAGGTGGTGCTGCCACTAGGATAATTAGCCATTGAGATGCATTTACCATGCTGTATAATGGAAGCATCATGGTCGCGGTTACTGAGTGTGCTTACATGAAATTGACAAGTAATGACCCAACTTAGGCCAGGAGCGTCATTAGAAAGTTTCTCTCCACAGTCCACTAATATGATGTGAAAGTTTATTGATAAAAAGGAAAAAAATGGTTTACTGAGGTGCCACAACCAAATAGGAAGTAGTATCGCAGCAGAACAAATAAATAGGAAATGGGGAATTGCCTGATGTTACTGTTATCCCAGAACTCGTTTCTACAAAAAGAAATTCTTTTCGCCAAAAAACAAAATAGTGGGTTTTTCAAGAACTGCAATTTCTATAAGCTCAACTTCACCTGTCAAGACGCTCAGCCCCATCGAACAATGGCTGATCCCCAAGTAAGACCAGCACCAAAGCCAGCAGCAGCTATAGTATCACCTACCTTAATTTTCCTACTTCGAACTGCTTCATCTAAAGCCAGTGGTATGGAAGCCGCACTTGTGTTCCCATAATTTGCCAAGTTCGATATCACCCTCTCTGGCGGCATTTCTAACCTTGCCGCTACTGCATCAATAATCCTCTGATTTGCCTGCATTTAGTAACCAAGTAAGGTTAAGATGACGCATGTTATTCTGAATTTTCCAGCTCCAACTCACAAAAGTTATAGCACAGTTTAACAGTTAACGAAATACAAGATACAACTAACTTTAACTCTTTAAGTCAGTGTGAGTGGCAAGAGCTCTCATTTCTTAAGCAAGTAGTTAGATGTTCAATTCCTAATTCTTGTGTGTGAAGTGATCTGGGAAGAGTCTATTTTTGCTCTTAATTCCCCATGGGAGATTAACTTCTGCTGTTGGTGCCTAGTCCGTACAAAAAATGCTGGATACAACAAAGAATCCCATCAAAGGATTCCCCATATTCCATTTCAGCCCACTTGAAGAAATCATTGTGCGTCAAAACTTCAAGCCAGTGACTCAACCAATAGAGTTTAGCTATCCAATGATAATCTTACTGGGTTTGTTTTGAAGATAATTTTCCTGTACCTGATGGAGAAGTAACCAATCGATGCTAGATGCAGAGAGACCAGCCTTTTCAAGGGCTGACTCAATTGACTGTGGCACACATCGCACAGCAAACCGGAATACTTCTTTGCCATTCATTTGAATGCACGAATAGGAGGACTGCTTGGGAGGAAACCCTAACACATAACCATTTGAATCCAACGCATTATTCGATTCATTTTCTTTTAAAGCAGCATTCAAATGCCTGCGTGAAGAGTAAAGTGCTTAATTACATAGCTTCTACAAAGACGAACAGCTCTTTCATTCGTGAATATGAAAAGTACATACCTTTGACCAGAGCCATCACTATTCACATCAAAACTGAATAAACCATCTTCCTCACTGTTGCAGGCCTGAAATGTAAACATAAGCCGCATAACATCAGATCATAACCATAAAAAATTCTTTGCTGAAATATCTTCTACTTCCTGAGGAAAACAATACAAGTTTACTGCCAGTTTTTGCTTTTTATCCTTCTAAAGAAAGTTCAATGTCATCTACCAATAAGAAACAAATATCAGTTCACAAAAAGCATATGGGATAACAGACTTTGCCTCAGAAGTCATAAGCCAGAATTTAGGTAATACTATATTTACAATTTTGAACTGGGAGATCAAGGATTATCACAGCAGTTTACTTTCATTCTAAAGTTTACGCCACAAGAATTTCAAACCCTGCTTTTAAAGCTACTCCAAGACTGAACGTACTGAGAAGACAATAACCAGTGTCTTATAAACCAGAAAACATGATCCAGAATGATAATTGAAATTTGTAGTTGATGCTATATGATGACAGGAAGATATTCAGTTACCTGTACTAGTACCGCACCAGCAGCATCCCCGAATAGAATACAGCTCCCTCTGTCCGACCAGTCAACAAATCTTGAAAGACCATCAGCCCCGATTATTAGAACATTCTGAAATCCTCCCCCTGTACCCACACAAAGAAAAGGATTTGAGTTTCATTAGACTTAGCAGTCATCAAGACTTTATTAATACTAATTCATACCCCTGATGTGACAAGCAGCTGATATTAAACCCAGCAAAAATCCACTACATGCAGCAGTGATGTCATAAGCCAATGCTTTTTGGCAGCCAAGTTGTCTTTGAATCTGCAAGTCACAATGACAATTATGATGACAACAAAAACAACAAACAGCCTTAGCAGTATCAGCAGGCTGTTTAAATACTTTTTGCAAAGCTAAAAAGATTCTATCATTTGTAGGAGGGAATCCGCAATACCGGAATCATTCAAACATCATGATAGTAACTTAAAATGTGTCCGTAAAACAACAAAGATTATTTTTCTATGTTAATGAGAAAAAAAAGTACAATCACAACCAGGGAGTGTCCAATTTTTAAATAGTAATGTAAAAGCTAAGAAACTCTTGATTGATAAAACTGGTGCCAAAACAATCGATCAAGGCACAAACGCACAATTGTTTTCTAAGGAATCAATCTATGGAAAGTATTGCCCATAAAAAGAAACTATGGAAAGTGCAGCATACTTATAAGTTACAAGCATGTTGTTAAGTGGTTACAGAAGTAGCCCGCATTTACTAGGGAAAAAATCTTCTATGATATGATAAAATCTTGCCTAAAGCCAGTCCTTACATTTATAGGGAAATAATCTTTAATTAAAGTGAAGTCAATATTTATAATAATTAAAAAATCATGAAATAAATACAGCATAAAAATCTATAAGAATAAGTAATTTTCCAAACATCATTCTAAAAGTTTATTCAAAACAAATGATAAATGCATAGTCCTTACATTCCCTCAAGTCCACAAAGTGAGATTTTAGCTTAATAAGAAATCTTGGGGTAAGAAGCCAAGTTCAATTTTCTTTGTCTACATATATTCAGATTCTCAACACTGCTAACAATGCATGTAATCCCGCATAACATGCACAAAGGCATTTCAATGATACATCCCGAACCAATACCTGAGGAGCACTTCCAAAAAGATCCTCTGGGGTAGATGTGCACATCAATACTAGGTCAACATCACCAGGATCAACCTTTGCCATCAGAAGAGCTTCCCTAGAAGCTTCAGCAGCTAAGGTTGTTAAGCTCTCTTCACCTGCAAGTATCACATCAAGCAAACATAAACAAGGGCCATCTCATTTTGGTAAAGCTTCAAACAAGGTTTTGAGTGAGTCGTTATTTAACATACTTGGCATCATCTCATGTAACATTAATGAATTGATAAAGCACCATAAAAATAAATTTCACCACAAATCAACCAGCACTTCACAGAAGGACAAATTTGAGATATCCATTTCCAGATAGACATCCCCTGACCAATTGGCCATCAAGAGCCTAAGCTAGAAGCCAGCAATGTAACCTAACTTTTTTAGCTGTCTAATCTATGCCATTGCAATGGCATAATACAAGAGACTAACCTGAAAGAACATGTCGATTACGAATTCCCGTGCGAGTTGCTATCCATTCATCAGAAGTATCAACCATTTTGGCAAGGTCATCATTGGAAATTTGAAGAGCTGGCACAGCAGAACCACATCCAACTAACTTGCAGCCTTTACTGACAAGCCTATGAAGACATTAATTATTTCCATAAATTGTCAAAAAAAAAATACCAACTACAGAAATGTGATTATCATCCCAAATGGCATAAATATGTGACTGTTCCTCCTGGTTATATGTACGTATGTAGACCAAGAAAAATGAGGCTCATAACCAGTTCATTATAAGTTATTAACAACGTAATATGTTGCTGCTCAATAAATTCTTCCACATTGCAACATGAGACTAGGCAGCGTCTCTTTACAAATGTTTTGAGGACTCAAAAATACCATCAGAGCAAAGAAATTTATAGTCAAATGATAAAATGCAAACGCATGATTAGAGGAAAGAAGTTAAAGTTTGCTATGGTTATAAATCTGTTTGTCAAAAGAAATCCAATCAAATGGATTGAAAATTAACAATAAGGAGCAAATGGTTGCATGCTTCTATTCATTTCTTCTTTCTTTTCTATATATTTTGAGACTTGGCACAATTTTACCTATATAACACGACTTAAGTATTATAAATAAATAAAAAATGCTGAAAATGGTTGACCTCTTCCAACTCTGTAATGCTAAATTTGAAATGATTTCTGAAAGAAGAGCAAAGCAAGATAAAAGAATTGTTTAGAATGTGTTTTGAGACGCAAAAAACATTGCATTTCAGCATCGCACAACTCAAGCATATCTAGATCAAAGGAAGCATAGAAGAGTATAGTTGTAATTGAGATCAATCTGCCCCACTTGATACAGGCAGATTCTAATAGCAAATTTGCTTTTCAAACCAGAGATCCCATTCAAAACAAGTTCATGAACAGATATGGATAACCAACAAGTGTAAAAAAAAAAAAAAAATCACAAGCCACGCCCCCTTTTCTTCTTCTACGATCTTGAACTTTCATCCGAGGCTATGTAGTCAAAAATAGCATTTAACTTATAGCTCTCAGAAGTTTGTTCTTCAGTTCCTAAGCCATGTTCCTAATTTCCTAAGACTGGAATTATTTGACCCTCTCGCTACTTTTTTCATAACACTTTAAGTTTCGAATCCAAAAATGGTTGCTCAGACGTGTTAATGGAAGTAAAAGAAGCACGCAATCTATACCCATACTAACCATGGTAAGATTTCAAAGGCCCAAGGTCAACAAAACTGGAAACCCTGCGAGTAGACATCAATAGTCGGTCGGATACTATTAAAGGTTCTATCACTTTCACGAACCAAGCTCTCGATAGAAAACTCTAATCACATTGCTATAAATACGGCAAGCGAATATAAGACGTAGATTTTTAGTTGAAGTTACCAACAAAAAAATGGCTACCTAACTAGTAAATAATCATGCCAAGCAGAGCTAAACCAATTATTTACTAAACGGATTGAAAATAAAAATGACCTGGGTATCCGAGCTTCCGAAGGCTTTGAAGCACTTGAAGCATGCCTTTCAGCGCCTTCTACGGCACTAAGGCAGAACACTTGCTTCGAGATTCGTTGAAAAGAGAAATCCCCAAATTGATTAACGGCTATGGCAGGCTGAGCCCTCCCACTCAGGTTAGGAACTGAAGCCGTAAAGAACCCAGATGCATTGGCCATTTACACCAATACTCAAAACCAAGGAAGAATCCGATACAAGAAAAGTATTAGACGAAGAAGAAAAAATCTTTCAGATTATATGCGAAAGAGTATTATTAATGTGATGGACAGAGTGTACAAAGCCCATAGGTAAGAAGACAGAGGGAGAAAACCAACAGCGTCGAGGCCCTTTTAACGCAATAACAATCTTCGGAGGCTCCAAAGAAGAAAGAGAAAGAAGCAATTAAGTCAATCCAATCTGTTAGGAAACTCCAAAGCTAAACATAAACCTTGCTAATTGCTTCACCCTGAGTAAATTCGCCTCAGAGTAATACAGCAAAAATCGAAGCGATGCTTCTGCAATTCCTAGATCTGGGTGTATTATTATAAAAAAGGGACATAATTTATCAACGAAGAAGCAAAATGTGGTTTTGTAGCTATAGAAGGCTTCTTCGTTAGGTTCGAGGTCCCAACCAAAATCGCATACCATTCATTGATGGGAGTTGAAAGTTGGCCTTGCGCTCATTTCGAGCAGCCATGGTTAGAAGAAATTCTTGTGTACTTCCAAGAGTAAAGCTCATCTGTACTCCGTCCAATCAAGACACAAAACAGATCAACTCGTGCAATTTTAATTCCAGCTGTCTGCTTAATTTATATTATTTTTAATATTTTTAAAAACTTTTAATACTTCTCAATATAATATAAGGTAGGGATAATTATTCTCAAAATTTATTTAAAACTTAATTTTTTGAAAAAATTTAAATTTTTTCAATTATACTTTAATTAAATATTTTTATAAATTATTTTAATAATAATAATTAAAATTTTAATATATTATTTTTAAAAAGAATAATAAATGAGGTAGGAGATTTTAAAAATAAAATAAAATTCGAATTATCATGAAGAGCTGATCCGAAAAATTAGTTGAGCTGCTATATTTTGATTGGTCAGAGTACGAATGAGCAGCACTGTGAGAGTACAGAAAAATTCCTCTAATGGTTAGTTTAGTTTTCAGTTCTTACTTCTTTCCAGCTACCACTGGAAATACAGTGGACCCACTGGGTATCTGTTTTTTTTTTTTAATTTAAATTGAGATGTCCTTAAGAACCTAAAACGTAGGAAAAATTAATTAGTCCATGTAGTTGTGATAATTATAATTTAATTTTTAAATTTTAATTTAATTGTAAAATATAGAAAAAAATATTTAAAAGAAATAATAGGATTGGTAAATTTTATAGAATAGATTGACGGATTTTACAAGCAATATTGCTTTGAACGGAAAAAAATTATCCAGGCCCCAAAAAAAAAACAAAGGAAAAAAAAAAAAGTAAAAAAAAATAAAGGAGAAATCACTATCAAGTCCTTCCCAAAAATTCTGATCACCTCAAAGTCTGAGGAAATACATAAATTCCTCTCAAGTTTGAAATCCCTTTTTTTTTAAATAATTTTATGTGAAATTGTGGAAATACCATTGTTATTTTATTTTTTTCTAATATGAATTTCTAATGGCAAATCATCTGGTCTTGGGTTTCTACTTCCCCAGAGCATCCTTCCCAAAATTAATCAACTCGGTTGCTATAATACATAATGTTGAATTTTTAAAATTTAAAAATGCATAATAAAAAAGTAATATCCATCAACGTTCCATTGTTTCCCATCCATATATGTACTTATTGGAATTTAAAATATATAACAAATTCCATACATATTTTTTCATATTTGTTTATTTTTATTCATTTTCTCAATGTTTATTATTGTAAAGATATGTTTGGATAGTAGTTTAGAAGTATAAATTAACATTTAAAAAATTAAAACAAAAAATAATAGGACCAATGTATCAATTCGACTGGTTCTTAGATTGAGCCATTCTTTATGAGATTGAATCGAACTTGGGTGTGACTTGAGACTGGTTCCAGATTTAATCGGTTGATTCTATAAGTTGAATTTCACTTTTGTCGTAGGTTTTAAACTTTTCTTTTAGGTTTGTAAATAAATGTGTTCATTATTTAGTCATGAATTCTCGCTTATTGTGATAAAGATTTTGGCATCTTTTTGGTAAAATAACATTAAGGCCCACTGGCATGGTGATATGACAACAAAGTCTCATGAAATGATCTAATGTCCATTTGAATTTCAGTTGAGTATAATAAATTATAAAAATAATTAATAAGTAAATAAATTTTAATTTAATTTATTATGCTATAATACAATCTGTTTGGATGCTGTTTTTCTAAAATTGATTTTAATAGAACTGAAAATGTTTGGATATTTTTTTTAGAATCAATTTTAGCTGTATAAATTACCATAAAGGACATTTTCTTTTAAAATTAAATTATTGATAAATTTGTATCTAATATTGTTAAAGTTGTTACATTTATTTAAGAGTAAAATATATTATTTAAACTACATATATACTTAATTAAAAATTAAATTATATTAATACTAACATTCAAATTTATGTAAATAAATAATTAAATATGTCTTAGTTAAAATAAATTCAATAAAAGACAAGAAAATTAAATTCTTAAATATGAAACATTAATTTGATAACAACTAATGAAAATGATAATATACAAGTTGATCCCTAATAATATCACAAATACTAGTCATAGCTGACGAAGAAGATGTTACGGACGATGGTAAAAATGAATACTCATTAATGTCATGGTCTTCTCGATCCTCATGGTCTTCCTAATCTTTCCTCTCATGACGCATAAAATCAAAATCAGAGTTAGAGTCTCTTCTAATGAAATTATGTATCGCCATTGATGCAATAACGATTTGAACTTGTATATCATAGTCATAGCTAGGGATGTTATGTAAAATTGCAAACTTGTTCTTCCAAACTCCAAATGTTCTTTCTATTGTGCACCGTAAACTTGAATGAAAATAATTAAAAACTTTGTTATTATTTGCAAATTCAATTGATCTTTAAAATTAGGAAAGACGGTAGCATTCCCATCTATACGGACCAAGATATCCATTTGGTGTTGGATAGCCCGACATCCACCAAATAATATTTACCTTGTAAAAAAAGATTACTATTAATGTCTGTAAGTTGGAAAGTATAACACAAATAAATTAAACAAACAAACAAACAAATATACCTGAAGGAGAGAATGTGGAAAGTTCATGGATCAAGTTGTCAAAGCACGTTAAAAAATGCGAGCATCATGTGCAGTACCCTTCTATCCAACCAAGATAAAAGTAAAGCATATGTCTCAATCACACATAGCCATTACATTTTGCGTAGGGATTCCTTTTCTTCCAATATATTTTGATTTTTCACTAGCAAGGACTACACATGGAATATATGTGCCATCAATTGCTCCAATGGCATTTTTGAAGAATGGCTAATATCGCTTATCATTTTCTATTTTGTTTGATATATGATGAAAAGACCTGTCTTGTAGTTTGATATATTCCATTGCAAGTTTTCGACCAAGCCATTAAAACTTTATAGAAATGTCTGTGAATAGTCCCCCTGAATGTTGAAATCTTTCTTGTGCCATCCTATTTCCCAACCCATGTCCAATTGTATTTAAAAAACATTGCAATCATCTCCTGTACTCTCATTCACCTAGTGTCTTTTAGTCCATGCCATGTCAATTCACTACATAATAATGAAACACATGTGGTTTTATTCTAAGCATTTCATAGCAACGAACTGGATGTCCCTCTAAAATTTCATTCACCCACAAAATGACCTAATATTCATTATTTCTTTGGGCTCTTTGCACAAATGTTTGTTGCATGCAACCCAATAAGAGGACTAAACTTTTTGGGTTCTCTTTAACATTTTTTAGACAACTCTTCCATATGTTTTGCTACTTATAGCCAAACACATAAAATATATGCACATAATTTCAATTATAGATATATCTAAATAAATCATCTATAGAAATACCAATAACTTTTCCACAACATTATAATACTTCATTACTATATATAAAAGTACATAAGTAGTTCAAGAGGCTACGTAAGTCAAATTTATAATATAATACAAACATGTTAGACTACTCTTTAAGTAAGATAATATGCTCATAACAAGTTTTAAAACCCTAATAATCAACCATTTTTGTAACATTCATATCTCAACCACTCCAAAACCACTCTCTTTATCATCCTTCATTATCAAAAACATCACCCCTAGCGCCTTTCAGGACATGCAGAGTGACATGCATTGTGAAACCCAATGTTTGTCAGTTGCAACTTCTTTCCATTGTTTGACTATAGACATGACTTCAGGAATTGATGTTTTCTTAGGCTGTTGAGATTCTTCCTTTGTTGTCTAAGCTATCACACTCATTGTATCTGCTATTTAACCTTGTACTAGGTAACTTATTCTTCTTTCTACTATTACTACTTTCGCCCCTCTTCCTTTTATCACTGTCTCCACTTAAGGTTCCTTGAAAGCATTCAGAACTACTCTATTAAATTCACTACTTACTCCAGTAGTTCGTAAGATCTCATCACTATCTCCTGAACCTTCCTCCCAATCAATACCCTTATTTGCCATATCTAGCCGATACATGTCTTTGTCCTCACCTTCATTCTTATTGTAAATGTTAGGCAAAACTCCACTTGAACCATGCTCTAGGTCCATTGGCAATGGAACCTAAAACAACTCAGTTAATTTATTAGCAAATAGTAATCCTTTATATCTGAATTGCTCGTATAATGGATTTTCCTGCACATAGTTACCAATAATATTACAGAATACACAAATAAATAGAATAATATAAAGCCTCACATAATAACATCATACCAATATCTTTTTCTCCCACCAATCATTTAAAGCATCCACAGTATTGTATGCATAATGCCAACCCAATCCTGTCTCGCTTAAAACTAACTTATCCCACAGTACCCACTCTTTTCTCATATTATCCCACTTATTCGAATTGTTGTCTATCATATTTCTGTCTAGTCCTCTTAGAAGGTAGAAATTATACTGAGCCATCCTACTTTGGTAAAACTACCACCATTTCTTTGCAATTTTTGAACTTGGTCCACACAAATGTCAATAAATATTCTAGTATTTCTTCGATCCCATGAAGCTTTTGACTTATTATTACTCATTATAATATATAAAAATTAATTGTATGAGAATATAAAAAACCAACATGTTAATTATAGGAATTGTAATTAAAATATTACGTGACAAAAACTTGACAATTTTTAGAGAAGCTAAATTCAACATTCAACAGACATTGAAACAGCACAAGAATTTGACTAAATGACCCCTATATATGCAAAACATACTGTTTGAGAATAAATCTCCAATAATCAATGATCATATAGACCAAAACCAACACAGAGTTCGACTAGGCACAAAACCAACTTTTGACAGCTTTTCCATAATTTGCAAATGTACAAGCGTTTGACTAAAAATCAGGTTTCAATAGCTAAAATCAATTTAATAGTTTCCCATATCCAGCACAGAGTTCAATTAGGCACAAAACTAGCACAGAAACAACATGAAAAATTAGTTTTCACCACATTATATTTGCAAGTGT